AGTCACGTGGGTGTGTGAAATCATTCTCCAAGAAAGGTGTCGTGTTGCCAGAAATTGCAGCCGGCTGGAAGACTGAGGAAATCCCAGAAAGACACGCGGGCCAGGTCGGCTAATGCACCGCATCGAGCAAAAAAAGGGTAGTAGGACAGTACCATACAAAGTCAGTCGCACACACCTCAACACAAAGTCATGACCACCTGCATCGAGTCCGCTCTCTTACGAACCGGAATGACGAGACAAATGCCTTTCTCTCAGTCAGACTCCTTGCTGGTCGCCCGCGCGTGCTAGCTTGGCCCTCCGTTCTGGGAAGCTGCGTCGCTTGACGTTGGCGACCGGGGGTCGCGCCCGCACGCGCGCTCGGGGCGACTGCGTAAAGCGCGTCGCGGGGCCGTCATTCGCGTGGCGAGCATTGAGCCTAGCAAAGAGTTCGGACTTTGGCAATGCAACCCCACTGGATCGTTTCGGTTTCCTTAGATGGGGGTTTCATTCCACCAACTGCTATGGGTCAGGGTGCTCAAGCTCAACAAAATTTGTCTACAGAGGGGAATTCTTCCCCAAAGGCTGCAGGTGCAGCCAGGGCCTTGTTTCGCCAACTAGCTTGCTCTCTAACCCTTGGAAGGCTGAGTGGATCTGAGTGGTATCCTGGGTTTGTGTCCCCAAGGCCGAATCCCCAAGACAGCGGGTTCGGGTCTACGTATAACCGGTGTCTAACCAGATTTGCCAGCGGGCAGGGGGTTAGTGCCAGGGACCGCGTGTTCATTCTCTTTCTGGGCTGATTGAAGGCCGCGGATCCCCGCAACATGTACGTTGTTTTTTCTCGGTTTTCCTTTAACACCACCAAAGAAGGGTAGCCCCACCCATTTGTATATGTTAACTCCCAGAAAGAAGTCGAAGTGGAGGCAGAGCTGCAGCGCGCCCTGGAGGCGATCCAGACGTGGGTCAGTTGCACTTGGCACCAGTTGGGTCTTAATAAATTTTCATGGCCACTGGCGTGAGGTGGATCGAAACCAAACATGCAAACAACTCGAGGAACTTTTCATGTTTATTGTCATTTGTGTTCTCGCTTTACTATCATGTCTCGAGGACATGTTTGAACCCTGGAAGGCAATAATGCAAAAACACTCAAGCAACTGCTCATGTTTATTTTCCTTTGGTTTCATGTAATTTTCATGTGTGGAGGACAAGTTCATGTCATTGTCCTTTTTTTGCTTGCCTCCATTTTGAACCCTGGAAAACAAGTGCCAAACAACTGGGGCAGCTTTTCATGGATATTACGTTTCATGCTATGTTCATGTGTCGAGGACATGTTCATTGCATTGCAATGTTGCTGGTTTCCTCCATGTTGGCATTTTGGAAACAAAAAATGCAAGAACAAAACCCGAGAAATTGTTCATTTAATTTTAGTTTTATATTCATTTTGCCGGTTTCCTCCATGTGGGACCCAGGAAAACACGAATGCAAAAGACTTAAGACCTTGCTTTCATTGCTCTGAGCTATTTTCATTTTGCTTGCTTTCCTTTTTTGAGCACATGTTCTGTGTATTTTCATTTTGCCGGTTTTCTCCAGTTTGGGGCCTGGGAAAAGCCACAAAGTGCAAAACCACTTGAGGGCATGTTCTTGTTTTCATTGTGTTTTCTTCCTATTTTCATTTTGCTGGTTTTCCTCTACTTTTGGACCCTGGAAAGCAAAATGAAAAAGGCGAGGAAACCGTATGTTGATTTTCATTGTGTTTCACGCTACGTTCATTTTGCCGATTTCCCTCTACTTTGGGACCCTGTAAAACAACAAATGCAGAAACATAAGGAGGACAGTTGTTATGTTTATGTCCCCGGTTTCTCCATGTTGGGACCCAGGAAAACAAAACAATTCAAACCAACAACTCGGGGAGAAGCTCCTTTTATTTTCATTTGTGTTTTCACTTGTTTTGGTCCGATTTGGGACCCAGGAAAACACGCAAACATCTCAAGAGTGGTGGGTGCATGTTCGCACGTTTCCAAGCGCTTCAACGAGAGCCCCAGAGAGTTGCAGAAGGGTAGTGGGGCCTACAAGCCTGAGCGCAGATATGCACACCTCGGTCGGGGATTTGACGGGTTTCTAGCGGGATCTGGAGCTGGACCGTTTTGGGACTTCCGGTAATTTGGCCGGATTGGTGGACCGGTTTTTGAGAGGGGATTGGAGGGGAATTAGATTGGTCTTGGGAAACTTGGCTGTTTTCTAGGTTGATTTGGCTGGAGTTGGACCGGTTTTCTAGATCGGGATTTGACCGGCTTCTATAGGGCGATGGAGGACCGGTTTTTAGATTGACCGGTTTCTAGCATTTGCTTTGTTTTTTTTGGTTTGGCGGGGCTTCCCAGCTCTGGGGTCCGAGGCGTATCTTCATTGTAGGTTTGATGTAGGCAGGTTTCCTCCATACTGGGACTCTGGAAAACAACAAGTGCAAAATTCCCCTGTCATTTTGCATTTGGCCGATTTCCTCCGTTTTTGGACCCAGGAAACCAAAAGAAGCAAAGAACTTGAGAACATGTTCACTTTATGTTCATTTCATTTTACTTTCATCGGTTTCCTCGATATTGGGACTGTGGAAAACAAAGGGCGCAAACAACTCGAGGACATGTTCATGTTGTTTCATGTTGATGGTTTTCCTCCGTTTTGGGACTTTGGCAAACATAACATGACCTCAACACATGAAAACAACATGAACACCCGGATGAAACAAACAAATCGAGAACCAGCAAGGCTGGTGGACGGAATGTTATTTCTCTTTGTTTTTCCTTCTCTTCCTCTTTATCGTTTATCTTTTCTTTTCCTTTCTCCTTCTCGGCATCCTTCTCTTCCTATTTATCTTTATCATGCTCGTTTGTCTCTTTCTCCTTCTCTTCCCGTTCTCGTTCTTATCTCTCCAGCCGACGTATTTATCTCCATTTGTTAAACAATATTTATCTATGTATCTGTTTGCCTACCTACCTATCTATCAATCTAGCCAGCCTATTTGCCTGTCTCGTTGGTCTAGTTAGTCACCGATTTATTGCCATCAACCAATCTCTTTGTCGATCTATCTATCCATCTATCTATCTACCTATCTATCTATCGATCTATCTATCAGATTTATCTATCAATTCTGTACTTATGTATCTTCGATCTGTTTATCTATCTGTCCATCCGCCCATCTATCTCTAACTGATTTGTCTCAATCTCTGTATCAAGGTATTGTGTTCGACATGAGTACTTCCACTTTAGTTCCATTCTAAACGATGGATCAATATCTACACAAACGATGTGGCTTTGGGATGCCCCATGTGCTTTGCCTCGATGTGTTTCAACAACATTGCAACATGTGGCTGCCTTGCTGTTGCTCCCGATTGAAAAGAACATAATATGTCGCGGCCCAAAAGGTAAGTTTTCAGGCTGCAAGTTGTCAGAGCTGCAAGTTGTCGCCCATACCCATTTGGGTGGTTACCCCTACTTTTAGAACTGCTTGAACAGAGAAGCCAAGAGGAGAACCACAGTTTTGGAGGTCCCCCAATTTCACACATGGGTGGGTCAAAATTAAGCCCCCAGGGGACCGCAGATTTTAGTCTTTGGTTCCCTTTTCCAGGGTTCCATTTTGGGTGCCTATTTTTGACCGCTGTGCAGGAATCCGCCCGCGACATGGAAGCCTTCTCTTGAGCGCGGCGCTTCGTTTGTACGGCGCTCGGGTAGCCGGTCGAGGCTTAGCTTACCCTATGTGGTTTCCTCCATGTCCTGTTTTGGAACCTAAAGTGGCAGTTTAACGAAACCACCAGTGAATTGCAACTGATGGTGAATCCAGTGCCCCCCTGTTGTGACTATTTGCTTGTTTGGCTTTCCCGTGATTTCTGCCCTCAACCATCAACCGTGCACATAATTTTTGGCAGGGGCCACCCTGGCGAAGGCTCAAGGTATGCCCAAGGCTACCACGGCGAACGATGCCCGCTGGCTTTCCTCTTTGGCCTTTTGTCCGGCTGTTCACCCTTTCTCATTCACGCTGCCTTCTGCTTGATCTTTTTCTTGTTGACCTTCTGTGGAGAGGGCCAGTTTTTCCCCCCTCGCCAAACTCTTGTTTTCTGGCGGCAGGACCGCAAACTCTGGTAGATTGGACGAATTCCAGACTTTGCAGCAGCATTTTCTGAAGCAAGGCAACCATGCGGTGGATGTCTCATAACTCACTTCCTGAGTTCATGAACTTTCCACTTTTTGGGAAGACCATTTTAGTGGTAAACAAAAAGTTTGGACTTTTTTTGGCCATCCACTCAGCCAGTGAGAGAATCCATGGTCTCAAGAAGGGCGGGTTTCCTTGGTGTCCCGAGGCGCTCCTTTCGCTCTGAGCCTTTGGCCTTGGATCAGAGTTTTGGGATGTGCTGAGCCCGGAATCGGGCTTTGAACTCACCTGCGTAGCATGTGCTCGACATACGAGTTGAGAGAGAGAGAGAGAGATATATATATATATATATATACACATACCAGTGAATTCTGCAGACAGGTTTTTTCTTTTCTTTTTTTTTTTTTGGGGGGGGGGGGGGCGCATGCTCTACATAAACGTTGCTGACGAAGTATAGGTGACGTTGCTCCAGCACATTGGTTCATATGAAACAAACAAGGCCTAACTCTAGAAAGGTCATTTGGCCGTGGGTTCAGAAAGAATCCAGGATGGAGGTAGGATTGTTAGCTTGATTCTTTTTGCGAGATGAGCTCGCTGCAGGTTGCGACGGTGCGAGGGCCCTCCAAGTTGTACAGACCGCGCTTCTTGCACAGAAAGTGGGTGCTTTCGCGTCTGGCTGTTGCATGTTTGCCGGTGGGCGGTTGAGTTTGACAACATGTGCACATTGACGGAACACGAGAGAAGCCGGCTTAACATGGAGGGGCATATTGCCGAGGAGCAAGCCAAACTTTGACCAGAGCCACGGTCAGACCCTCCTTCAGGTCAACCACGCCCCGGCTTCACCCAGTGACACTGACATCAGATGTTTGTCACGTTCTTTTGCATCTCGGGCGCGGGTAACCACCGCCCGTCTCGAGTTTCGACATCCATCTCGCGCGCCATGGTTTCGCGCCCCATCGATGTGCTTTGCGAGGAGGAGCGGCTTCGGCGGCTCTCTGAGCGAATGGCCTTTGACGATGGACTCCCGGCTTTGATGCGTTTGACCCGATTTTTGAGCCAGGAGCGGCTACACGAGCTCCCCTCGGCGCCCAAACCAAGAACACGGTGATCCCTAATTTCAGGTTTGGGACATATTGTAGAAATGCACATCCTTAAGCGCACGCACTTACCCTCCCACCTTCCTCTTGGAAAGGGCCTTTTTGCACTTCCAGGTTAGTTGGTGGGAGGGTACAGCCTTTGGCTACACCCACATAGGGCGCCGTTTCTTCCCGCATGCCGAGCAAAGGCGATGGTGCAGAGCCAGCGCGCCAACGCCGCGCGCGGATTTTGGTGGAGGAGATGAAGTTGCGGAGATGTTTGGCCGCCGAAGCAACGGGTTTGGCAGGGTTCCATATGTTTCCGTTTTGGGGTGGTTTCAACGTTACCTTGTGGGCCAGTTTAAAGCGAATTTCCTTTTTGTGGGGTGATGTTTGAAGAGGGAATATAGGGAGCCCCGTTTGGGTGTGCGAAATGGTCAACTATGTATTGAACCTATAGCGAGCCGCCTGGGGACTGTACTTGGGGAACTTATTTCATGTTGCGGACATATTGATGAAATGTGCAGACATGCTTTTGGTTTTCGCAAGAACGAGGAACAGACTGGATAGTATGATAATATATTGTTGTGTTCCCCGACGAGGGCTATCTAGGCGTCGTTGTTTGCCTCGAGGTCGGGGGACATGGCCCCCGGAGAATGATTTCTCGGCAGTGGCGGGATTACTCAAACGGAGCCGCTGGCAGAAACAATTCTGAGAACCGAAGTTGAGTTGCCCCAACCTTTGAACGCCCAGCATGTTTTCATGCGCCAAAGAGTCGAACCACTCCTCACGAGGCTCGAACCCTGCCGCAAATGACTCACTCCCAGTTTTTTTCAGCGCTTCGCTGGGCCTTTCTTCCGGCGAGTTTTTCGCCCTACAAAGCATGCAGTTTTAGAGGAATCTCCTTTTGGGGTTGGAGTATCCAGGGCATCCCCGCCCTTTGGTTGACACGACGCGTAATATGAGAATCCCGTTCGCTTGAATTTCACAATAAGAAAACTCCGCCGGCAAGATATAAGCCCGATTCGAATACCCAGATGCGACAAATCTTCGGTGGGATCTCAGGGGGGACAATGATTGATCTTGGCAATGTGGAAGGTACCCCACGACAGTTTGCATGCCCGGTGCTGAACAAGCAAATAGCAAGGTCTTAAGGCTTTCTCAAACATTGTTTGGGGAAGTTCCTCTTCAAGCCACAGTTTTGAAAATTGGACTCAGCTGGCGGTATCCAGTGCATCCACCCCGAGAGACCCACACCTCCAGAGCTGTTTTTTTTTTCTTTCTGAAGGGGAAAGATTCGCTCGTTAAAATCAAGAAACCCAAATAGTTGCCTCTCTTTCCACGGGCGTGGGGAGCCACTCGTCCAAATCAAGAACCCCCAACAAAAAACCTCTCTTCCCATGGGCATCTTGGAGCTCCGTTTTGTTTTTTGGGCGCTCTCGCTTGGGGTGTCGCGGAACGCCGCCTTGCGGCAGGAGATGACCACCATGGGCCCCCGGCTGCGGTCCCCCTCCAGCGAGAAGCGCCGGTCCAAGGCGGTGAAGGCGCTGGAGGACGCTGGGATGCAGGGAGCTGGGCTGTTCAACTCGGTTGTTCGGTGGCACCCGTTTTCCTTACCTCTTAAAAACACAACTGTTCAACTTTTTGGGTAACATGGGCTATATGTCTGTAAAAGGTTAACTTCCCCAATCCTTGGAGTTTTAAGGGGTAAGTTTCCCCTTTTTTTTGGTGGCTGCCCCCCACTAAGAATAGTCTTCAAAAAGCGTTCCCTTTTTTCCAGGGTCACTGAACAACTGAGTCAAAGGCAATCCTGAATCCTTACCTGGACTTACGCAAGAGGTCCCCTTTGTACTCACTGGTCAAATGTCCACTGTCCTTCCGCTCCTAGTCAGTGAATGGAGCAACGCCAGTTGGTGGTTTGTGTTTGGGACCAAAACAGATTATGGATTAGGATTGGCCAAGCCTCCATTTTGAACACAGTTTGTGCCGCCCCCTGCGATTTCTTTGTTTGGTTCTGTTTTCATGTTTAGCGGGCTGCAAAAAACAGGGTGTTTTGCAACCAAAGCCAGGGTTGTGAAGAGTTTCTGTTGGCAAGGTCTGCTTGGTTTGTTTGGTTCTGTTCATTTTTTGTGTGCTGCCAAAAAAGAAGAAGGTGTTTTTCAACCAAGGGGTGTGAATATTTATTATCTATGAAGATGTATTTTCCGCGAAGGGAATCTATCACTACTGGGCATAGTTTCTCATTTTGTCCAGGGGACTACGCACATGGAAGTAGTTCGGGCTATTGTGAGGCGCGCCCCTTCAAAATCAACTGGCACCAAAGTGCAACAACCATAAATGCCAAAACCAAATGCCAAACCCAAGTTTTTGTTTGTTACCACTGAGGTCCGGAAAGGTTCATTTGTTATTCTCTACAATCAGTTCAGAAACCACTAATCTTGACTGCTATTGGGTTGGATCTTTAGACTTTAACTTTTGGGGAAATAAAGGTGTTTTCCACTAAACCTCCAACACGTTGAACTTTTTGCAGGGGGGTCTCGCCAGCAACCAAGTTAATTTCCCTTGCGTTTTGGAGAGGTGAGTCTTTCCGAACAGAAGGGCTGAACAGATTGGGGACAGCGAGATCCTTGAGTTCCGGGACTTTAAGTTGAAGCTTGTTTCACCACGGAAGTGAGACTACTGCGAGGTCCAGCCCTGCCCCATTCAGTGGTTTTCCCACTGAAACAAAGGTTAACCCCTGGCTTCCTTGTTCCATTGCTTGGTTGGGCTCGGGAAAAGGGTTCAGGGTAGAGAAGATGGTCACAATGGAAAGCTGGAGGAACAAATGTTGGGCTCGGAACCAGTTTTTGGAGTCTGGGGGAATTCCACGCGAGCGAGCTCTGGCGGTAGGTTTCACCGGACCCAGGCGGGGCTGCAGGCGCGCTGGAAGGCGGTCGTCCACGAGATGGCGGAGACCCCGAAGCGGGCGTCCGAAGCCGAAAAGTCACATGGCTCGCAAACAACGCGCTCTCGCACTGAAGGTGTCGTACTTCAGGATTTGTGTGAATGTAAACCTGGGTTGTTCAAAAGCAATCCTTAGTTCTTATGCTGCTGGGTGCAAGTGGTTTCCCCTCGTTGTAGTGGTGTCCCGCTACGGGGCCTTGATTTGGATTTGGGATCCCCTGTGCTAAACCACCCAGCTTATTCTCCCCAAGGCGGATGGATTCTGCATGGCATGCATGTGCCAGAGGCAACACTTTTGATACTCTTGCTTTTGATACTCGGGTAGGTCCACCTGTGTTTGCAAGCAAGGTTTGAGGGCCCGTAGCCCCCTCACTTTATCCGTCCTTTTTGCCTCCCTGCAGGCATGAGAAAAAGGCGGAGCCAAAGGTAGAGATGGACGCCTTGGATGGCGTGACTGTGCGCTCAGTGGTTGGGCTTCGAGGTTTGTCGCAGGCGCGGTCAACAGCCACCGGCAGACCCAAAAAGGACGTGGCCTGATCAATAGGATCCCCGTGTGACGCTGATGGATGCCGTTTTGAGGAGCCCTGTGAGATGCTGTGTTCGAAAGGCCCTCCGCGTTTCGGATGTGCTGCCCAAAAAAACTTGGCCAGGCCAACGGCGCAATAACATCAAGAGGACCATTTTGCTGAAGCAAGGGTGATCCTACCAGGTCTGATCTCAAATGACGCCACGCAATGACGCATTGTTTCGCTTCACTTCTGGTGATTCCATGCTTCCATGTGCTTAAGAATATATACGTCTTATTTTCCCCTGTTGGTTGTAAAGGGATTCTATCACTACTGGACACATTTTCAGTTTTTTCAGGGGTCTCAACCAAGTGGAAGCATGGGGCCCGTCGCCCGGTTTTCTGGATGACCCTCCAGGTGCCCCCGGAAGTGGAGGCAGTAGTGCTCGCCGTGCTGCAGCTGGTGAGCAGCGACTACCAGCCCGACGGAGACCAGCCTCCGCAGACCTGGGAGGACCGATGTGCCCACCGGCTTTTGGTGGGTCGAGTTTTTTTTGTGTTTGGTTCATGAGAAATTTGAACAAAGCGAATCATTCTGTACGAAAAGTCCTGCCATCAGCAAAATCATTGCACATGAAATGCGGCGGGAGCCAGGTTGTTGTTTAACAGCAGGTTGGTTATTTGTGTGGCAGTGATGTGCTGAGGGCGTGTGTGTGTGTGGGTGTGTGTGTGTGTGCGCCCCAAAATGGTCGGTCTTTGCAGTTGAACAACAAGCTTTGAACTTCTTTCTGGTAGGTTTCTTCATCATTTCACTCAAGGCCCAAACAGTAATCTGTTCTGGGTTTGGCACAGGTCAGGTGCCCCTTTTCTTTCTCCATTGGTCTGACAAGAAGCTTATGACTTGAGGCTTGCTCCTGCTGAAGCCGCGTCGCTTTTTGCTTGGACCTTGGGGCCTTGGGGCAATCGGTGCTCATGGCAACCATTGGACCTTAGGGTGCTGATTGAAGCTTTTGCTCGGTGCAGTTGTCTGTGGATTTGTGCTACGACAATTTTAAACAATTCCTTTGAAGGGCGGAATTGTTGGGCCCCTCGCTATCACTCGCGGCGTTCAATCATTTCCTTCCAAATCCAGAAGAAGCAGCTGCTGACACATGTTTGTCGAATCTTTTCCCGACAATGGGGAGACCCATGAAATGTACAGCAGGAATGTCCACATGTATGAACATTTGTCTGGCTGCCCCGTTCTTGCTGAGAGGATGCCACAGGTCCTTCGTCCAACGATCAGTTGGGCTAGAGGCTTCGGGTTCTTCACTTTCATGTAGCTGGGTGCTCAAATTAGTTCCTCGTATCTGTTTCTGGGGTCCGTGTATTTCCTTGAAAGGAGGTAAACCCAACTTGGGTGCATGGCTGCGAAAGTGTCCGGTTGTGCGACTTGACCCTTGTAACATTTGCGGCCCATAGGGAATGACTCGTAGTCCTTGACGGCGGGGAACGCCAGATGGCATCGCGATGAGTCGTTGAGACAAAGGAGCTGGCCGCGATCAAATTGGTAGCGCGAGCTGGTGATGCAGTCCTCAGGGAACGAGGGCGGGCAGTTCCAGAAGAGGTTCGGTGGAGATGGAGATGATCCAACCAAGGAGTGGAAGCGCGATGCCGGCGGAGGCTTTCGGGCCGCTCTTGTTCACGTTGCTGGATGGAACGGCGCTGAGGTCCTTTGACCAGATCGGCCTGGCAATGCCTGGAGGGCCCAAGAGAAGGTCGATATGGGCGCAGGGTGGCAGTCATCGGAAGCCACCCCCCGGCGAGTGGCCCGGGAGGCCGTTGCCGCCGTGGCGTGAGGAGACGGCGGAGCACCGGGTGGCGAACGTGACCGAGCAGCCGATGGCGGATGAGATGGAAGAACACCCGTTGTCGGAGGCAGAGATCGAGGAGGAGGAGCCATGGGACCAGGCCATCCTCGACGAAGGGGACTACTGGGAAGTGAAGCCGAGCTGTGTCATCCGACACCACCGGATTGCACGGCACGCCATGTATGCCCCTCGGCAGTGGGGCTGCCCGGTCAGCCTGGAGGAGCTCCGGCCGGAACGCAAAACGATAATCGTGCTGGAGAACGGTGAGAAGGCAGAGGAGATTAACGATTGGACCGACCCAGCCACAGCCCGGATCCACGTTGGGCAGCTCTGGACGGGGTGCTCCATCTTCTACCTGCGCGGCACCTATCCGAGGGACTGCGATGAGGTACTCTTGATGGACGAGCCCCAGGCCGCTCAGCCGGATACCGACGTCTTCTTGGAGATTGACCACATCACCAGGCCTACCAGGAGGAGGCGAATCCGGAGTTGGATGAGGTGGAACAGGTTGGGGATGGATCTCATGTAGAAGTCGGACAGGCTCCAGCAGAAGATGAGGAGGTCACAGCACAGTGTCTGCTAGTGCATCAAGCAGGATATGGGGTGCTGGACACTGGATGCGGCCGTGGGCTTGTTGGTGAACGAACCCTGGAGAGACATCGACAGGCCCTGGCAAAGTTTGGGCACCTGGTGGAGGAGATGGAGCTGATGGTAATGGATCCACGGATGAGGCGATTGGCAAGGTGAAGGTTCTGTGCTTCATCCAGGGCAAGGAGGTTTTCATCGTGTTCTTTGTGGTGCCGGGCGACGTTCCCATGCTGGTGTCAAAGAGGTGCTTGAAGGCAATGGGTGCCAACATGAACTTAGTCACGAACGAGATCGAGTTCCCCAAGATTGGTGCCAAGGTAAAGATGGTGGAGCCGCCGGATGGCTCGTATCAGCTGGACCTCATGGACGGCATCACGTCCAAGGAGATCGTCCTGCACGTGGGTGACATTCCGAACCAACTCGACCCTCTGGACGGTTCCGACGGTGAGATGTCGGACGAGGACGAGGGTGGGGTCTGGGGAGTGATGTCCCGTGGTCAGCGCGAGGAGTTGCAGGGCCAGATCGCCAACGTCATGGCGGCCGGAGAGCATCAGAAGAAAATGATGGAGATCTTCTGCCCAGGAAGATTCCGGGATGAAGCACCACGCGCTGGGTACGAGTCGGCCGGATTCTATGATCTCAGTGAGAACTGGGACTGGAGAGACCCGCGGCAGCGGCGCATGGTGGAGAATACCTTGGAGTTTGAGGAACCCGATCTGGTGATCATGTCCCCGGTGTGCGGCCCCCTGTCACGGTTGCAGAACCTCACACCCCCTGAGAAAAGGCGGAATCAAGAAGGCTTTCTGTCAGAGGTAGAGGAAGCCCGACATTTCATCATGGAATCATCCAAAGGATCTGGTGCCTGGCAGTTGGAGGAGGTTCGCAGACTGGCTAGTGACCATTTTTTGGTGGATGTCCCTGCATGTGCGGTCGGACTGCATGACAAGGTGTCGGGGCGATTATTTGGCAAATGCTGGGGTTTCCTGACATCATCTTTCGGGGTGGCCATGCAGCTGGAGAAGTTGCAGTGCTCTGGGAATCATGCCCACCAGACGATTGAAGGGGCATCGGGGGGACAACAACGGTCTGTCCAATCCCAGGTGTATCCGAAGACGCTGGTGCGGCGCATTCTGGCTGGAGCGGCACTGGAGGAATCGATGCAGCAGGCCGGGCAGCATGTGTTGGCAGCCGACGAGATCAAAGGGGAAAAACGAAGGTATTTGGAGAATTCACTGAAGAAGCTACACGTGAACCTGGGTCATGCAAGCATTCCGGACATGCTCAGGATCTTGCGGCATCGGGGGGCGAGTGAACAGGTGACGGAAATGGTTAAGGCCTTTGAATGCGCCACCTGTGCAGCCCGCAAAGAACCGAAGGCCGTGAAGCAGTCGACAGTTCCCAAAGACATTGCCCCTTTGAGGTATATTGGTATTGACGTGAAACAGTTACCCGGCTGGAAGAAAGGCGAGAAGATTAAAGCTTTGAACATTGTTTGCCGAATGAGCGGGCTGCAGCAGATGACGCCGCTCAGAGAACAGGAGTCTTCGGAAGTGATTCGCCGGCTGTACAGACAATCCTGGACCAAGCCCTATGGCAGACCACGGTTTATCAAGTTTGATGCTTCAAGATGTAATCTGGGACAGCATTTTATCGATGCTTTGGAGCGGGATGGAACCACTCCCTTGGATATCCCTGGTGAGGCGCACGAACAGATAGGGGATGTCGAGGTCCAGGGTCGTCATTTTGAAGACATGCTGCAGCGGATATTGGATCAATATCAACCTGAGGACTATGACGCGTGGCTGGAATGCGTCGACATGACTGTCGAAGCAAAGAACATGCTCATGCGGCGTGGTGGTTACAGTCCGTATCAGTTGGTGTTGGGAAGGGACCCGGAAATTCCTGGTGATGATTTGCTGAGCAGTGATAATCCAAATCCAATAGCCAATGGGGCAATCCTGGAAGACGACCTCGCTGCACGAGCAAATAAGATTCGGCTTTTGGCACGGCAAGCAGTTTTGGAGTGTGCAGATTCCAGAGCAGCCCGAATTGCATTGAATACCCGACCTCGGCTGCTTCGGAATTCAGGAATGGTGACCAAGTCGCTGTGTGGAGACGCGGTCGGGGCATTCCGGGAAAGCGTGGGCGTGCCAGATGGCGAGGGCCCGGCATAGTGGCTGGTGCGGCAGGTGGCAATTATTGGGTGGCTATGCCAGGGTCTTTTATCAAGTGTTCACCGGAACAGTTGCGGTTACGCACCGAGGAAGAGCGGGAAGCAGACCGTTTCCTGGTTCGGGATTTGAGGGCTGCGGCAGCGAATCTGTTTCCGGAAGTCGGAGGAGAAAACCCCCATCAGAAGAATTTTCTGGACATTACAAAGGCAGATTACCCTCCAGGATCAACGCCACCTGCAGTAGAACCCGAGCGAATGCCGGATTGCCGGCCAGAAGGGGTTGCTCAGCCTAGTGCAACACCAGTCGACCCTCGCACGATTCCGATTGCATCGTCCGGCTCGGGCTCGGGGTCACAGCCAATTGGACGAGATTCGGAGTGGATATCATCAGACAGTCGCAGTCAACGGTCTTGGGAAGAACAAACTGCAGGGCTGCCGGAATCTCACCGATTGGCTTTACCCCATTCGATCGAGCAAGCCGAGAGATTAGATGGTGTACCGCGGCACGATCCACGACCTGGAGCCCGAAAGCAAGCGCATGAGGACCGGTGAGTCGCAAGTTATTGGTGGGCAACTCTTCCCTCCCGGGATACCAGTACCTGAGTTTGGGAGAAATGACCCTCCAGCAAGGCCCCCCCCTAGTCAATCCATCGGGCATGGGGCTGTCATGATTCCAGAGAGTGGCAATGCAGCAGATCCGCACTACGTTGGATGCATTGACAATGCGCGACAAGCCACAGCCCTCTCGGAGCTGGTCGGGCCCGAGGAGCGCGAGGATGTGTCGCTTGTGTGCTTGGCTAGCTGGGACACCAACGACGTGCTGCTCGCTGGGGGTCGGAAGGAAATTAATCTGAAAGATCCCAAATGGGCAAGTGCAAAGGCCAAGACAGAAGTTGAGGTTGGTGTTCTCAAGGAGTACAACAACGTGGTTTTGGACAAACAGGCATTGGTACCCCTTTCAGTGGATGAATCCCGGCGGGTAGCAGCACAGTTTCCAGATCGTTTGGTGGAGTCCCGGTATGTGCTAGTTGAGAAGCAGGACGACAACGGGGAAACCATAGTCAAAGGGAGATGGACTGCAAGGGGAGACAAGGACCCTGATTTGTTCGACCTGGTTCGTGGTGGCAAGACTGCTTCTCCCACAATATCGTCAAATGGGCGCTTTGTGGTGTTGCAGGCGATAGCCAGCGGTGGATTTCAGATGCAGTTGGGAGACGTGACGGGAGCTTTTCTGGAAGCAGACTGCATGAAGAGAGATGCTGGTAAGCTGTATTTGAAGTGCCCCCGCAACGTCAACATCCCTGGAGTGCATGCTGAAACTCTGTTTGAGGTTGTGAAGCCACTGTATGGATTCAACGACAGCCCACAACTTTGGTACAGCAAGTTTGTGTCCACTCTGCGAGGAGAGCAAGGCTGGAGTCAGTCGAAGCTGGATCCGTGTGTTTTCTTCTGGCGGGACCCCACTGCAAAGAACGGCCTAGGTGGGGTATTGGGCATGCATGTAGATGATGTGCTCACAGGAGGTAAGGGATCCAGCTATGACGAGGCCATTGACGGACCTTTCCTTTTCGCAAGTGAAAGTTCGACGAGGGTACATTTTGCGGCTCCTTCCTAAGACAGTGCCCACGCACCAAGGATATCATGGTGTCACAGACTGAGTTTGTGATCAGTTGGAGAAACCACGGTTAAGGTCCCGGGTTCCTGGTACAGATCTGGTCAACGACCAGGAAGTCAAGAGCCTGCGGAGTGTCCTCGGCGGGGCGTTGTGGCTGGCCAAGGAAACGAGACCTGATCTCGCAGTACAGGTCAGCATGGGTCAGCAGCTTTTTCCGAGACCGACGCTGGAGAAGGCAAGGACGGTTGCTCATGTGGTTAAGAGGGCAAAACAGTATAAGGATCTTACGTGGCACATCAAAGCTGTCCCACTGGAAGATTTGAGACTTTGCCTTCATACTGACGCGGCTTTTGCAAATGCCAAGCGGGAAGGAACGCAGGCAGGTTACATTGTCGGCGTGACAGACCACAGACTGGCAGATGGAAAGACAGCTCCGTGGACTCCAGCCTGGCGATCATACCGACTCAAGAGAGTCGTGGGGCCAACGTTTGCAGGGGAGACGCAAGCATTAGCAGATGGTCTGGGGCATACAGAGTGGTTGGCATGTCATCTTGGGGAATTGATTGATGGGGAGGTCAATCTGAAACGGAGACAGGACATGCTGGCAAGGTTCAACATTCAGGCCATTGTGGATTGCAAGTCAGTCTACGATCATTTGCAAGCATTTACATCACCCGATTCGGTCAGTGACAAACGTGTTGCAATTGACCTGGTGATTATTCGGGAGACACTTCAGAGACTCAGTGCCAAGGTTCGGTGGGCCCCAACGTGGTTGCAACTGGCTGATGCACTCACCAAAGAAAATGCAGATGCCATGGATTTGTTGAGAGCAGCCCTTCGTAAGGGGGAATATCAACTGTGTCAAGAAAGTGTGATGATGGAGGCAGCTGCCAAGGAACGTGAAACTCGCCAAACCGGCTCATAGCCTGCAGGAAACCAACCCAGTGACAGGCGCTCTGTGGGTGACCTCGGTGGTGGCGCCAATGGTGAAGGTGCCGGTGCGGGGTTTCAAGGAGGCGGAGATCAGATGTCTTTTTGAGAAGTATGCCGAAGGCGTGTCGGAGAGCGAGCAGGAGTTCAAGAGTCGAGTGGCGCAGAGCCTCGGCCAGTGCAAGGTCCGGGTGCCTCTCGAGAAGGTGAATGAGCGGCTGTTCCGCGGGGTGAGCAACGAGGTGACGTTCACCTACACCAAGAACACGAACATGGTGCAGGTGCAAACCGGAGCCGCCATGATAGATAAGGCGGGGCAGCAGTTGGAGAATGTGCTGCTGGCCTATGGGAACATGCTGAAGGAGGAGAAGGTGGACCCGCTGCCGGACGGCAGCCAGTGGTGGAGCAAGGCCATCCGCCAGATCATGGCAGAGGGTGGTGCGACATCAGAGTTTCTGAAGGCTCAGGCGGCGGCAAAGGCCGGGTGGACACGGTGAAGAAAGAGCTGCCACGTGTGGCAGTGCCGGATGAGGAAGAGTTCCGTGGAGCCATCGGAGATTTGGTCAACCTGGTGAGCCAGAAGCTCCACTCGTGCCCGGCCTGGCGCAATAAGCTGCTGAAGTATCTCCTGGAGGAATTCGACGCTGACGCTGGCCAGGTGGTTGGTGTGGCGGAGGTGGCAGAGCACTTCTACATGAGTGAGCCCGAATTGGATGAGGAATGGGAACATCAGAGCAAAAGCTTTGAGGCGAAAGGCTCGGCTGCTAAGGCAAAGCCAGGCTGGGCGAAGAAGGTGTACAGTCCGCAGGGTCCCTGAGTGACCCTTTTTCCGAGGTTCCCGTGAAGATGGGCGGTCAAGTCACTTTTGATAATCTTACGGATGCGAAAGTGTCCGGTTGTGCGACTTGACCCTTGTAACATTTGCGGCCCATAGGGAATGACTCGTAGTCCTTGACGGCAGGGAACGCCAGATGGCATCGCGATGAGTCGTTGAGACAAAGGAGCTGGCCGCGATCAAAATGGCGAACCAATTTTTACGGCCGGATGGGGAGGTTGTCCAATTCCGGCAAGCAGCGTTTGGGCCTAATTGGTTTGCGATTGCGACTTACCCCATCCATCCCTCATCCCCCAAAACGAGCTCTGCTTAATTCTCTGGAAAGCTCTTAGCTTAAGTCAGGCCGTTTTGGTTTTTTTGCTTCGCGGAAAATGGGCAGACCCCCGAAAAGGGTGGTTTTCGTTTGGTGGTCCATTAGCACCAAGAAAAAATGGGTACCCCAAAGCAAGACAACCCCAAATGACGGAGGCAACCTCCAAATCATCTAACATGAGGAGTCTTTTTTGGTGATCGACAGCCCTTTGTTTTCCGTTGCCCAAAGCTTGCCTTTTCGCCCGGCGGCGTACGTTGAGCCATGGTTGAGCCACAACACTCCACAACATTGAGAATCTCTTGTCATCTCTTGTCCCCTTGGCAAAAGACGATCATGGAATCCGAAAACATGAAGCCAAAAGACTCTCTTTTGCTCGCCGAGGGCTGAATTCCAAGTCATTTCCCGTGACTTGGCACCCCATAGGAGGCGCGCCGTGTGCTGCTGAAGCCGGGGCACTTCGCGACTTAGCCCGCAGCAAGCTTCACAACATGTTTGCGGATGTTTGGCTAGGTCCCCCAGTGGTGCCCTTTTACCCTTTTTTGGGGGAGAGTTCCCCTATGTTCCCCTACTAAAATAGACTACAGAAAAAAGGGCACCCTTATTCTAACCTCTCTACTGGAGGACCCAGTTGTGCTTGTTGTCTCCGAGTTCCTTCGAGGAAGCTTCGGCTTTTGTCCGTTTTTTTTTTTCCGGATATTTGTTGAGACACTGAGTCGCCCAAAGCCGACCTTTGACCGCTGGTTTTCGTGGTTCGGTCCACTTTGGGACGTGGCCCAAGAGACCAGACACGGAAGTCCTGATTGAGCCCCACCGGGTCACCCGTCCAGCTGAATTGGAAGAATGTTTAATATAAACAGTTTGATAATTTGGTTGAGTCGTCGTTGAACAAAGCAAAAGCCCGAGGAGCTGAGCTTTCCTAGAGTGGGTGGGTGGGTGGATGTGTGCATGGGTGCATGGGTGCATGGGTGGGTGGGTGGGGTGGGTGGGTGGGTGGGTGGGTGGGTGGGTGGGTGGGTGGGTGGGTGGGTGGGTTGGGTGGGTGGGTGGGGTGGGTGGGTGGGTGGGTGGGTGGGTGGGTGGGTGGGTGGGTGGGTGGGTGGGTGGGTGGGTGGGTGGGTGGGTGGGTGGGTGGGTGGGTGGGTGGGTGGTGGGTGGGTGTGTGTGGGTGGGTGGTGGTGGGTGGGTGTGGGGGTGGTGTGGGTGGGTGGGTGGGTGGGTGGGTGGGTGGGTGGGTGGGTGGGTGGGTGGGTGGGTGGGTGGGTGGGTGGGTGGGTGGGTGGGTGGGTGGGTGGGTGGGTGGGTGGGTGGGTGGGTGGGTGGGTGGGTGGGTGGGTGGGTGGGTGGGTGGGTGGGTGGCTTGGTGTAACAAGAGGGGGATCCAATTCGTTTCACCTGTCGTGGTGAGCTTTGCTTCTTTGGCCCTCTGAAGTGTGAGCTTTGATCCCTGTGATGATGACTTCCGTGGATTGTTCTATGTCCACATGATCTGGTTTGCCACGGTGCCCTAAGTGATGGCTGAACAGTCCATAAACTAGGGCCTAACTAGGGGTTCATTCCAGGGATTCATGTTGGGAGTCATGCGCCCAGCTTGTTGTGCGCATTTACTCCGTGATGGCCTTTCAATGGTCCAAGCAAGAAGCGCAAAGCAAGCCAGACAGCAAAATCAATCCTGAAGCAACCAACCTCAAACCACCCTACACCCAGCCAAGACCAACGCCAACCTGAAACTCTGAAGGTACTCAGCCCAAGACTTTAAGGAGTTTGGACCATCGCATCACGTGCAGGGTTCCATTTGTTGCTTCCAAATTAATTAGACTGCACCCCTCCTAGAGAAATTGGCCACCCCTGGGTGCAAATCTACCTTGGAATCAGCAAATGCATGTGTGTGTGAGTGTCAAACTGGGGGCCCTGAATTTGTGGAGTCGTACTTTTGGTTTCCTTTGCCCCAAACCGGGTACCAACTCCAAACACACATCCACCTGGAACCCTCGTTGGGATTAGAAAACCAAAGGCAGAGACACACAAACTCCAACACATGCACTTCCCCTTTGGGGTTTTAAAAACCAAAGGCAGAACCACATCCCATCCACATTGAACCCTTGTTGGGTTTTTGGAAAGGAACAAAAAAAACGAAAGGCAGAACCATACCCATGAGGTGAGCTCCCTGCGGAAGTTCCACTTGGCGCTGGACCGGGGCCAAGTGTCTGGGGCCTCTTTGGCTTACGCCACCCGCCAACTGGAACTCGCGGGTGAATTGGGTGACTCCACTGGCGTGCACGAGGGCGCGCAGCAGACCCTTGGGCAGAAAAACGGGAGGGGATTGGGGGATTGGTTTGGTTACTGTATGTATTGGTTGGTGTATGTTGGCTTGGATTGGTTGATATGTGTTGCAGTTGTTTGGTCTTGACAGGTGTGTTGTGTTTTACGTTTTGATGATTGACTATGGAGTTGTTGCTGGTTTGTGCTGGTTTGATCGATTGATAGGATTGTGCAACCCATTTTGAGCTGGATTGTTAGATTAAACGGTTTATTGATGGGCCACTTCTACCTATTGCAGAGGGTGTCCGGATCACTTTGGGGAAACATAGCTGTAGCTGTGCTTCAAAAGGGCCCCACCCTTCGGAAAAGCGCTCTGGATGAGCATTCTTCGGATTGAACTTGGCAACGTAGGCCCAAGTTGAGAATGAACCGCACCCATTCAACGCCATTCAAAGGGATATTGAAACGAGCTGGTTGGAACAGTGCACAGTGATCGAACGAGCCTTCTAGGGTTTGATTCCCCATTATGTTCAACCATTCTCATTTGTACAAACCAAGAAGATACGGATGCTTGGAAAGCATGGGGAAGCTTCCCCTAGAAGCCTGCATGAATTTGAGCCTTTTTTCAACAAACACAATCCGTCACAGCGTCTATCCAGGGATCTGTTTGTCCAAAGCTGGCCAAAGACGAAACACATGTTGCTTTTGGAAAAGCAGGGTGATTGCAGGGTGATTACAATGAGCAGAGTTATGCACTTGTGGCGGGACGATTCAAACTTGGAATGAGTTCCCTATGATAGTGTGTGCGGAGGGTTGTGTAAGTATACCGGTTGAAACAACAGGAGCCAAGAGCCATGAATTTTCCATAGGTTCATGAATAAACCCTTGGATCATAGAATTTCATAGACCAGTAAACCCTAGTTATTCCTTCTATTTTAGATGAGTCAACCCTGTATATCAAGTTGTTCTTGGATGACAACTTGCCGATTCATCGACGGTGTTTGGCGTATCCCTCTGGAGGAAAATCCATGTTGGTTTTTGCAGGAATCGCAACTTGTGGGGATTTGGCATTTATGTTGACCCAACTTGGCGACGTTGACCCCTGCAAACGGAAAGAAACACAGTGCTCGCCTAGTTGCCATCAACTGACATCAGAGGTTTGCGATTGCGACAAAACCTTTGCCTTTTCGTGGATACTTTTTGGGGGGGTGTCCCCAACCTCACTTTGCCACATAACTGTGATCAACTTGGGGCTATATTTAGCGCAAAAAAGGCAAACCAACCTTTTAGGTTGGGTTTGAGCTACTGGGCAACTTGACAAACAGCAAAGCGGCCTGACTTGCTAAACGTGTATCCTGAATCCTTACACCAGCTAGCGGCTCGCGAAGTCGCTCGTAGTCATGTCCTACAGTTTATATCGCCTTCAAGTGGTTGCATTTGAGGGGCTCTTAAAATTACTTTTAGGACCTAGGGGGAAACTCCTTGAAACCAGCATTTAGAGGGTCGGATTGAAGTTTAGCTTTAAAGTGCCTAGTTTGCGCATCATCCCCGGGGGCTGTGAGTTTGGATTGGCACGTCTGCATTTCCTGAGCTCTCACAGATTTACAACCATCATGTTCCTTGCAACCAACGACCATTTAGAGCCTTCTTGCCGAAGGCGGTAGTCAAGGGTTCTTGTAAAAAAGGTCACCCAGACACATAAGTCTGATCCAGCAGCACGTGCTGCATCATCACACGGCAGCTGCTGTCAAATAGCAAGCACCAAGCACAGAACAAACTCTAGCAAGCAAGGGCTTCTTAGGTTTCCATGCGACACTGGCAAGCACAGAGGGTTCATCACGCCGGCGCCCGACTCGCCCAGCTTTGCACAGCCCAGCTCTCTGCACACCGCAGCTCTGCACAGCCTTGCTCTACAACCTCGCTCTGCGCAGCCTTGCTGCGCAGTCCAGCTCTGTGCAGCCCAGTTGGCCGCTTCAAGCTTCACATTCTATGTTCTTCCAAAGCTGGCTGGGGGCTGCATCCCCGGCAGCTCTTTGTGCTGCCCTTGTGAGAGAAACATATATGAGTGCTCTAGCAAGAGGTTGTCGCGATATGTCGCGATTATCGGCTTGCCTTTCTGCGCACTCGGTCGTTGTGATAAACACTTTCGGGATTATCGGGGCCTAGTTTTGTTTAGGGGGAGGTCTCAAATGGTGGTTTCCAAGGGAATATATTTGAGGATCCGCGTGTTCGTACTACCCCTTTCAGGTTGGTTCAAATGCAAGCAAAAAGGGAAACCGTAACTTGTTTGGGCTGGAACCCCCTCAACAGTGGTTGGTAGGACCAAAGGGTCCTACTTAAACTCATGCCCATTTGTTAATGATGTTAGGGCGTGACCCTTTGAGATACAGCTAAGGCTAAAGCTGTGTTTCCCCCCAAAGTGGTTCAGATTCCGACTCAACAAGTCGCTTTACTGTAGCCAAAGCAGCCCACGTGGGCGCCTCTTCTTTACCCCTTTCTTTGGCGATTTCAAACGAAAACCAAAAGGAAAGCCACAACTTCGGTGGTTCTCAAGGGTGTCGCTACTTGCTGGTGCTCAGGGAATGAGAAATAGAATGGCCGAAAATTACCACCATCCAAGTGGCGGTTTCCTTTTGGAATCTTGTTGGGTTCAAATGGCCCTTACAACCATCCAACTGGTGGTTTTCTTTTGGAATCCCTGGGTTCATGGCCCACATGCTTTACCTATCGGACCTATCGGACCTATCGCGCCATGGGACTCCCGAGGCTCCACGCTTGGCTCCGAGCGGCGCTCGGCTTGGCGGCCACCGCTCGCCTCAGCGCGGTGGCCAGCCCCGCTCGCGCTGGCATGGAGGCCGGGGGGGCGTGGGCCCGGGGGTGGGAGGGGTGGGTGGGGGCTGTGGGCGGTGCAGGTGGGGGGGGGTGGGGTGAAATGAGGTTTCATGACGTTTGGTCCATTGGGCCTTGTGGAGGTGCTTTTGGTCCATTGGGCCTTGAGGTGAAAGTCAGAAACTGGTTGAAAACGGTTTTTCATGGCTTTCCTGGCTTGGCGGGAGCCGTTGCGGAGCAAATACGGGCGTCCTTGCCCACCATGAGTTCTGCAAAGACCTGATCAGGTTATGTTCTGGGGGCCAGAAAGTCAGAAACTGGTAACTAGCTTGTTGTCCCTTCAACCCAAGAGGGGTGAAGCACCGTTTTTAAATCCACGTTAATTTGCAGGGCGGCGTCAAGGTCAGAAAGTCAGAAGCCGGAAATTCAGGGAGCAACTCTTCACACGCTTTGGCTGGCCATTTCGA